GCTCGACCGACTATCATTTCATTGTAACTTCTCTGATATATAAATTTTGTCATGGGGCCATCTAGAATGATGAAAACATGCTCCTGTACAAGCTACTGCCACAGACGGTATTCAATTGGCAACTACCGTCAGGCTAGCTTAGGCTGTGTTTAATTTGCGAATTTTGGGAATCTGGCTACTGTAGTATTTTCGTTTTTATTTGGCAATTAGTATTCAATCATGGACTAATTAGGCTCAAAACGTTCGTCTCGCAATTTCCAACCAAACTGTGCAATTAGTTTTTTTTTCGTCTACATTTAATGCTCCATGCACGTATCGCAAGATTCGATGTGATGGCTACTGCAGCACTTTTTGGGAACTAAACACAGCCTTAAACAATTTGAAAACTGAATGAAGGAAATTATCTATATGCAACTGAACCAATAATGAGTGTCTGAATATAGAAGATTTATATTTTGTGGCTCTGAGCGATGCTAATAATAACTAATAAGGCAATGGATGTAAAGAAATTGTTGCTCAGAATGAGATCGATTACTACCGAAACAATTTTTGGAGACAAGCAAAGTGGATAGTGGACGGAAGCGTTGGGGGCGAGCGGATGGGGGTGCTGCGGTCAGGGGGCGATGGGGCATGCTCAGACACGTATGAGGCGTATGGACGCTGTGGCGGGTGTGGGGACAGGCTGCGGGGCGAGTTAAAGCGAGCGACAAGCGTGGGGAAACGAGCAGAGAAGAGAAACAGGAGGAGCAACGTGCGGGGCTTGCGTCCACGGCGGGCGTTCCGTGCAGGCGTCCCGTGTGTGTGGTGGTGGGGGGGGACGGATCCTAACCCCTAGATGCGTCCCGACGGGCCCCTGGATCCGGGCGTCCGGACGCTAGGAGCGCCGATACCTAATATTAAAGAGATAATATTTCTACTATGTTTTTTTTCTATCTCTCTCGTATCTGTATCTACTTCTTCCTTCCCGTACGGTTCGGAAGTCCAGCGAGCACCCAACTGCCCGTACGGTTTCCGTGTTCTATCCATGTTTTCTTTTTCATCGGAAGTCCCAGTGAGCACCCACACAAAAAATCCCAGCACGCACATGTGAAAAAAAAGGCTACAGCGAGCACCCACATACATGTGAAAAAAACACTAAAAATAGAAGCCATGTGTGAGGGATCCAACCAAGATTTCCATCTCCATCAATAGAATAGCAAATGCATACTACCAAACCATATGTTTTATGTGATGTATAACACATCTTTTCTATTTATTTAATCAGTAGTTAACACCTTATAGCTCTCAGGACCAGAAAACAAAAGTATAAAAACGTTGCATTGCATATATTAGAATATTATAAATATTTAATGCGCATGTTAGCTAGAAAAATTCGCATCCAGAAATGAAATTGATGATGCATCCGTACACTGTGTGGAGTCTGATGCCAAGGCAAAACATGTCCATACAAGTTAGATCAGTGTCATCACGCGGTATTAAATCATATTCCAGAAATGAATTAGAATATATGACACCTCGTTCCTCTAACTATCAGATAATGAAAAGTTTCTTCCATCTCACTCACTTTCCAGACTCATGACTTGTAGTCATAGCATCTCACCGTGCTCATATGAGTTGGAAAAACTCATGTCTAGCGACGATGGATACGAAATCCCATTATAATACATACTAGGCCGCGCGCTCTATATCTTATATGCGACTTGGACTCATGAACCATGTTCATCCGTACGTAGTTCGATTCTAATATGTACTGGGTTCCATTGCAACGTATTGGCTAGAGTTTACCAAATTGATGGCACGATATTTCTTAATTTTGTTAGAAATTCTATGTTAGCCTTTTTTTCTTATTGTGCTACTAAAGACTGATATGTTCGCTTCAACTTATTAGGCTAGCTTATATTTTTCTCTCACAACAAAACAGTTTTAGCCAGCTGATACTGAAAAGACTCCATCATATACGAGTGTTCCCTTAGGAGATCACGTATATCACACAGCATCATACCACAAGTTGCGAAGTCCATCGACGAAGATAAGAAGGCTTGTTTTAGTGGGTGTTTGGTTTCTCCTTCTAAATTTTAGTCGTTCACTGTGTTCGGCTGATGCACTGCACAGTGAATTTTGGATGGTTCTGGATGATTCAATAGTATTTTGTGAGAGAGAATAAGCTGAAACAAGCCAGCAGTAGACCAGCCGATCGCGCTGGTTGTTCTATCGGATATTTGGATACATGCATGGAGTATTAAATATAGATTAATTATGAAACTAATTACACAACTTGCGACTAATTTGCGAGACGAATCTTTTAAGCCTAATTAGTCCATGATTTGACAATACGGTGCTACAGTAACACATGCTAATGACGGATTAATTAGGCTTAAAAAATTCGTCTCGTGGAGCACTAACAGATTATGTAATTTATTTTTTTATTAGTATCCGAACACCTTATACAACATTCTTATTTAATACCTTCTCAATTTTAGTCACCGCTGCATCAAACACTGAACATAAGCATCAACTTCGAGCTGGACACGCGAAATGCCATAGTCGCCGAGAGAAGGGCCTCCGAGCACGCCGTTGTCTCAGCAGCGATCACATCAGGTACAGCTGCTTGCCTTCCCGTGCCTGCAACAACAGCTTGGGCTTGTTTAGTTACCTCAGAATCAAATTTGGGTGCTATACAAAAATAAGATTTTCTGTCACATTAAATTTACGGTACATATATAAAGTACTAAATATTGACAAAATCAAAAACTAATCGCACAATTTGATTGTACTTTACGAGACTAACGTTTTGAGCCTAATTAATCAACAATTGAACAATTATTACCAAATACAAACGAAATACTACGTTACGCTACAGTGCGCCAGAATTCATGCAACTAAACGGGGCCTTGCCCAAGGTGATCTCGAGCAAAACCAACACGGGCAGCAGTGGTGTTGGCCTCACCTAAAAAATCGTGCTCCATCTTGACCCATTCTATTCTCTCACCTCAAAGGTTGTTTTTACGACACAGGCCGTAGTTTCCTGCTCCCTTCTGACCCATTCTATTCTCTCACCTCAAAGGTTGTTTTCGAGAAAACACTTTTAGGCTGTGTTTAGTCGGTGAATTTTACGAATTTGGTTACGGTAGCACTTTCGTTTTTATTTAGTAATTAGTGTTCAATTATGTATTAATTAGGCTCAAAACGTTCGTTTCATAATTTACAACCAAACTGTACAATTAATTTTTTTTATCTATATTTAATGCTCCATGCACGTATTGTAAAATTCAATGTGATAATTACTGTAGCACTTTTTGGAAATTTTTTTTGAGAACTAAACGAGCGCTTAAAGTCTGTCAGCCATTCACGTTCATCTTCCATCTCCTTTTTTACGGAGGCTGTAGCTTCTGTCTGACAAGGCGTTAGGGCTTTTTTTTTTTTACATGGTTTATGTCGGCTTCGACTTTATCTATTTTGCGTAAATCGACGTACTATAGCGTGAAGCTATTTTTGTAAACCAGGATTAAAATAAACTAAAAGCTAAAAAAAATTAGTTTTTCTGGCTTCACCAGTTTTGATTTCATCAGTGAAGTTCTTTTAAATGAGACGTATCAAAGGGGCTTTATTCTCTCCTTAAAATTTATAGATACAATAATTAACTGTGCCCGTATAGATACGAGCAGCAGATCTCTCTTCGGTCATCCTCTACGCGAGCGGCCGCTTCCCCCATCCAGCCCCGCACGACGTCGCCGGAACCGGAGAAGGGAAGGGGAGCGCGAGATGGAGAAGGCCAATAAGCTCAGCGCCGGAGCGGGGGAGAAGGCGACCAAGAACAGGAGCCACGGGTCCACGGCGCTGTTCGTCGCGGTAGACTACGTCTTCCTGCTCGCCTTCGCCGGCTTCCTCGCCTACCTCGTCGGGTCGTGGATCCTCCCCTCCGCTGCCTAACCGGTCCGCGTTCGTGGGTTTCTCTTCTTTCTTCCACTTTTTTTGTTTTTTGCTTGGAGCCGATGGCAGTTAGAGCGCACCGAGATCTTGCCGGGCGGCCGGGTGCTTCTCGTCTCGATCTGATGCCGCTCCCGCGATGTAATCCGGCCACATTTTGACGAGAAGAGAACTAGCAGTGTTTCTTGGCAATTTGGCTGGTGATGTAACAAACCTTTGCTTGTTCAATCGCTATCTCTGCCCGTGTGCTGAGTTTGCTTGGGCATTGATCTGGCATTCTGGCGTTTGTGTGGCGATCTTTGATGCCTCCATGCTGCTGACGCCAACTGAAAGTAAATCCGTCAGCTAGCTGGATCTCATGCTTCGTTTTCGATGTATGAATCTGTGATTCAATACTTGAGCATGACTGATATACTGTGCTTTAAATATCTACCTTCGTTCATCCTCTCACTTGCCTGGAACATTAGTTGCATAAACGTGGTCGTTCTAACTAGCCTGCACTATTAAACCAAACTTGGATCGAAAATGTGCACTGAGATGAACTGGCATTTCAGCAATTTTGGTAGCTGGAGTTATTCATCTTTTGCTCCAACATCAAATGAAACAGGAATTGTTTTTTTTTCATGAATGAATACTGTTTGTCCTTCGTCTTACAGTGTTCCCACCATTACTTATTTGGTCATGAAGTCAAATTGTCAAAGTAGACTCTTATTTAGCTTTCATCAATCAACTTTGTACGGTTTGGCCAACAAATGCCATAGGTTCTCTTTTTGCCGAGAGAAACCTTTTAGCAGCTCTTTGGTTTCTGATTTGCTTCCTATCAGAATTGCACGGTGCTTGAGTCAACAATAGCATAATTTCAGCCAAAACACACCTCTTCAATTATCTTTGCAAGGCTACATATAAAGACCCGTACCATATATACATCCGGTTGGCGGTTGCATCCAAAGTAGCATTGCTCTGCCTGACTAGTGACTGCCAATTCGAAGAACAATTCTGGAGGCTACTGCCTGATAGCTACGATCAGATAGCACATGTACATCATATCTTTGAGGCCCTGTAGCTGTGCTCCTTTAGGAGCTGACATACAGATATCCACAAAAATTATGACAATATACACGGATGGCTGCAATGGATGGGATCTTCTCTCGGAGCTTCTGAGTTAGCGCCACTTGAACAGTCTTCACGCCTGCAGCTCGGCCTGTGAGCCAGACTTTCACAGTGTGGCCAACGATCTTGGTGAACTCGAGCTCGCCACCTCCTTTGCCAGCAAGGTATGGCCTAATCTCAGCTAGTACCTGAAATTTGGTTTAAAGGAGTCACCAATACCTTAAGATATCCCTCTTAATATTTTATTTTATCTGTAAGAAGGTGAATCATGTAATGGTGCAAATGGTGTAGAATGATCCCAGAAGAAGGCAAGGTATAATGTTGGAACGATTATTGGCATGAGGATGACAGAAATAATATCACTTGATCATAAAGAAAATAAGATGTCTTTATCAATTCAGATTCAGGGTTTTAGATACGCTCCTCGTTCCTACAAAGTGAAACTGATAAATTTCAGTATTTCAAACCTCATATTTATATAAGCAGGACCTGGAGTAGCGAGGGTGTTGCTCCAGGTATAGAGCTCTCAGGCAAAAAGGTTCAATTCAAACAATGTAGTTTCAGAATGCAAGTCCAAAACTAATATATTGAAGAAAGATGTCCTCCAATGTTCCTAAAACTACTACCAAGCACTAAAAGTTGCACAAACTAATGGTCTAAGATTGGCTATCAATCAGATACTTGTATTTGTTTAGACATTTAATTGAGATAGCTAGTGCATCAAATCAAATTCAGTACAATCGTCCCTTTCATATAAAAAATCAGTGCCAAGCGGTGCTGGGCCTATCGACCATTTACAGTTGAATCACCTGCAGATGCAGGTTTAAGTGATCACAGGAGTCACCCTAACTAATGTTTATTCGTGCAAATCATCTACTAGCATGTTTACAAGATTCATTCAGAACATTAAAACAAAACAAGCCTGCACGGTTGGCAAATACCTTTTGAACATTTGCTTCATTTAGCTTAAGCCCCATCTCCTTGTCTGCAACACGTTCGACTGCGCTGATCTCTGGTATGTTCTCCATCAAGCGTCGCTGAATGCTCATCTTCATCGTCGTCACTGAGCTTGGACACGATCCACGTGCTCCCTGCAGCTTCAATCTCACAACATTCCCGTTGATCTCGTGCAAGGCGACATCGCCTCCATCTGCTATCAGATACGGGCGCCCTGACTCGACATTTCCAGTGGTTAATGGCAACTGCACCACTGTATTCTGGCCAGCGACGGCTCGTGCAACTGCTTCGCATACATAACATAAAACAGCTATAGGTTCAGTTGACCTCGTAAAAGGGCAAGGCAAGTACTGAATTGTTCAGATCATTCAGATGAACTTGCTCTATCAGATTCCGAGCAGAAATTCAGCAAAACAGTTTGCAAGCTAGAGGCAACTATGAATTGATCGTTTTCAGTCATCCAGAACCACATTACAAGCAGTGCGAAACAATGTAATTATTCAGCTGAATCATGTAAGAATTCCTCGTCCTATGGAGGAGCTCTGAGAGCAAGATTAGCGAACATCTCTCATCTCTGCTGCAGGAAAGCTTTGCAACTGGCAATTGCAGCCGGCGATGAGGGGGGAGGCCTCACCTTGCGGACGGCGGCCAATGGACGTGGCGGCAACCAATCATGGCGCAGGACTCTCACGCGTCCACGACAGGACACGCACCTCCACGCCGGAACATCTCGCCCAGTTAGCATCATCACATTCCCAATCCACGCCGAAAGTACAAAGGGAACAGAAGCAAAGAGGAAGCCTAGCCCAAACCATGGACGAGGACGACGAGGAGGAGGAAGCGGCCGGAGCCCACGCCGACACGACCACGGCGGCCGCCGCCGACGTCGCCATCCCCCCTCACGCCCTCATGGTGAAGGATTCTTCCAATCGGCCGGCGTGGGGTGTCGAGACGCTCCCGCCAGCCGCCACCGCTCTTCTTGGTGGTGGCTGGCGGGTTGATTAGTATTGTGCCGCGATTCCTGGGCTCGCCGGTTTTCTCTCCCCGGGCACGTCCGGGCGTTTGTCTCGCTGGCTTCTTTGCCAAATTTCGCGCGGTTCCACGGCATCTCGCCACGTCGCGCGCTCGTGCCACCTCCTTTGACTCCTTCCCCCATTTGTCTTGTCTCTCTGTGCGGGACACACGAGACTCGAGCGGGTTGGAGTTTAGCATCCGGGATGGAGAGCTCTTTTGTTTTTTCCCCCGTTTCGAGTAAGTATACACCATGGACTCAAGGTACTATTTCTTAAATAGAGAATCACTTTAGAAAAATAGAGAATTGATTTTTGTTTGCTTCCCATCAGAATATGCACGAGATTTTAATTTTTGGTTGAAGAGAAATAATTCTCCCATAGAATATGTTCCATAGAACCCTGACAAATGGGTCCTAAATCGTGCGTTTCTTCCTTTGATTCATGACTCCGTATATCTGGTTCCTCAGTTTGGTAAATTCAGTTCACGCGCATCAGTATAAGCTTATGCTTGCGTCGACTACTCAACTACCTCACTAGTATTTGATAACACTATTATAGCTTTCATACGATTTCATAAGCCAATAGAAACTACCAATAAAAATAAACATACTTAACCTTGATATTCTTTCATACTCTACATATATCCCCAAATAGCCCATCTCAAATTAAAGGTCATCATCTCAAGAGTCCAATATACTACTCATAGGCTCCCTGTTGGCATAGGAGCTAATCGAGGCTTGCATGATTACATAGTATATCAAATTCTCTTATTATTGTACCTCGCCATCAATCGTAATCTATCGATGAGATTGTAGAAATATATGATCTGCAAGTTGATCACCATATATGAATGACCTCAATGAAGATTTTTGTCCAAGACAAATAAATAGAATCAAAATTCAGACCACACAACAAAGTATCTCGATACGGTGTCCATTGTGTATTTGGATGCAAGTGGGCAACGACTAAGTGCGCCACCACCAATTTTAATAGTATAAGGCTCTAGGTGGTGTTGAGTAAGGGTTGCTAGTGATAGAGTGAGGTTGCCAACAGGTATGCTGCTCGTTCTCCTGAGATAACATGCAGATGAACTGTGTGCGAGCGAGCAGGCGAGCACAGGTAGGCCGCCTCTTTTTGGATATTTATTTATTTTAATTATAAAATTTATGGAAGTTCATTTATTAATTAAAAGAGATAATTTTTAAACATACAAAAACTATTCATTTTTCAAGTTTCATATTTTTCCTAGGTAGAGTACATCATATAGAGGCTACACAAAAAATTTTAGAATGTTTGGAGCTCTAATTATTTTTTTACAAAAATAACAAATTCCAGCACTATTCATCCATTTTCAGAAAAAGAAAAAGAATCAAAATTCATTTTCCCGCGCTCCTGGTCACTCTGCAGTGGCGGCGATGGTACCCAGATGGTAATGGCCCAATAGTTTAAGTACCCAAGTGGGAGGTTTTTTTAGTTCGAGTACCCAGATGTAATGCCCCCATAGTTTAAGTACCCAGGTGGTAGCTTTTTCAGTTCGAGTACCTAGATGGTAATGTCCCAATAGTTTAAGTAGCCAGGGTGTATTTTACTCTAAATTTAACCTATTCGTGAGTGATGGACCAATTACACACAGATGTTGTTGAATGTACTTAGGTTAGGCAGGTAAGCAAGAAGGAAAACCGGTGGATTTTCGCAGACAGAAAAAGAAGATTTTACCTGTCATTAGTCACATGCTCAAAGTCAACGGTCCACGGCATCCCAAAGCAAGATCAGAGACTGTCCAAGCCGCGGAGGGAAGACATCACAAGCCACACGATCTCTCGACGAATCCAGCGTCACCCGGCGAAGAAAACGCCCTGCCCCGGGAGCCGGAGGAGCCAGCTGCTGGGCTCGTGACTGGTGAGTCTCGCCGTCTCGGGCCAACCCGAACGCCGAACCCCAAGGCTCGCGACCGACTCGTGTGTCCTCCTCCTCCTCCTCCCCAGATCTCGCCGCCGGCGGCATGCTCCCCTCCTCCGGCGGCGGCCGGGGCCGCGGCCGCCACCTCCTGCTCGGCTTCGGCCTCGCCCTCGCTGCCCTGCTCGCGCACGCCTCCGCCTCCGAGTCCGACCACAAGGTGCGTGCCCACGACCCTACCACGCGGCCTCTTCCTGCCACGGATCCAAGTCACTGCGCGCGCGCATCCCGGTTAGATAGCTCGAGTCGTGCCGGATCTGGACCGCCTCGTCGGTCGGATCTCACGCTGCTGGGTTGGTGGCGCCGGCTCCTCGCTCGGGGTTGTTCTAGTGTGAGGTTCGGTTGGGTTCGTTTCGTTTTGGAGCCGATGCGATGAGAGAGTTCCTGGTGTTCGACGGTCGAGGACGCGTTTAGAGGATGGCTACGGCTTATAGAGTAGTAAGGCTCGATGTGGGAGTGCTGGTAAACGGGCATGCTGGCATTTTGTGATGAAAGCTTAATAGCTCATGGGTTTTGAATTTGGAGTAGCAGATGGCTGCGGTGCTTACTCATGCAGTCATGGTCCGGGTTGTGATGCATAGGAATGTAGAGCTTAGTGTTGCTAAGGAAATATTTTTTGTACATTCGGGGTTTTGGACACTTGTATTGACTGTATTGTGTGTGTTGTTTACCTTCGATTGCATAAAAGGGCGTATGCAGTGTAGAGAGCTCCCGCTCTGTGCGGGGTTTGGGGAAGGGTGCCAGTGGCAAGCCTTACCCTCGCCTGTGCAATGCGAGGAGACCGCGACTCAAACCCGGGATCTTCCGGTCACAGACCGCTTGCACCAGGCCCGCCCTTCTTACCTTCGATTGCATATTGTAGGTTTTTTTTTTGTTGCGTTATCCTCCCTGTCAATGATATTATGATAATTCACCCTACATGCAAGTCCTGAATCTGTGGATCTGTTTGATCAGAATTGCTTTGATGCTCACTCAGCTTTTACCTTTGTCCAACAAGAATGCCAGACTACTATGCACACTCACCTATACCTTTGTTGAATCGAGTTTAATGTTGAGGTGCCTTGGAGTTCTTTTTATTGCAAACAAAAAAAAACTTCCTGGTAGCCATTCTTTTGAATTTAAGTCGCATAAAATTATGCTCGATATCACACTGGTTCCAACATCCTTCACATTTTTATGTCTCGCTGCAAATGTTTCCAACTATTAGTGCATTGTGTTACATAGAAGGTGGGAAAAACCTTAACCTAATTAGGCACCTATACGACCAAATTACAACTTGCTGATTGACAATGATGCCGCACTGGTGTAACAGTTAATGCTGTTGCGTTGTCGCTGATGGCTTAATACTGTCAGGAGTGAGGGCCACTACATTTTATCTTAGTTAGTTAGCTATGCTGCCAATTTGATCACATCATAAATTCATAATGGCATCTATATCATGTAGCTTTTCAATTTTGGTTTCTGAAGGAACGCTAGAACTAGTTCAATGCAGTCTGAAGTTTGGAGAATTTATGATAGCCCTTGACTTCTATTTGAAGAAAGAACAAATTGTTTTCTGTAACATAAATCAACAAATTGTTTTCTGTAACTTAAAAAGTCTCAATGACAGCTGTTATCAGTAATAGTTACTAATAACCCAATGTCTTCTTATGTCTAAATCTAGATAGAACCTTACAAATAAATATCGATATGTCAATCCCTGAGAAATAAATCACCACAGAAATTCGAAGCAGAGATCATTCGCAGTACCTGACAGATTTTACTTATGTGGTTGTTGCTTGAATGTTGTTTCTTTATGCTTCCTACATGCAGTGCAAATATGTTCCGAACTCAAAAGTTCTCATCCCTTTTAATGCTTCTTACATGCAGTACAAAACTGAAGAGCCAGTTAAGCTTTGGGTGAATAAAGTGGGCCCTTACAATAATCCTCAAGAAACTTACAACTATTACAGCCTTCCATTTTGTCAACCGTCTGAGAACCCTACACATAAATGGGGTGGTCTTGGAGAGGTCCTGGGTGGAAATGAGCTGATTGATAGTCAGCTTGAAATAAAGTTCTTAAGTATGCCCATATTGTTCTCATTTCATCCTTGTTTTTATCTACTGTTTATTGGAAAGCTGATCTAATATGTGCTTTTCCTGTAAGTATAACTTTTTTGTCTTACTGACTGTATAAATGTTATTTTGGTCTAGAAAACGTGGAGAAGGGCTTCATTTGTTCACTTGAGCTAGATGCTAAAAAGGTCCAGCAGTTTGCTGATGCCATTGAAAGCTCATATTGGTTTGAATTTTTTATAGGTATGTGGATCCACCTTTGATCCATCATGTTCTATAGCATTATGATAATTTGGGATGTATTTCTTATTTCTAACGTTGTCATTCATCTTTGTGGGTAAATTGCTTTTTCGTTGCCTGCTGCCATATTCTTCTAGATGATCTGCCTCTTTGGGGTAGGCTCTTCTCAACATAGTATTTTCTTTTCTCAATCTGTCTACCTGTTTTGCTATATGAGATGATAGTCGCTCTATGTTTGGAACAGGTTTTGTTGGGGAGACTGACAAGAACAGTGAAAACAAGCATTATCTTTACACACACAAGAACATCCTTGTTAAATACAATGATAACAGGGTATGCTATATTGCGTTTTTCCAGAACATTAACACATCAATTTGGATGCAGCTAAATAACATGATCTGATGTGATTTTTGTTTTAGATAATTCATGTAAATCTCACCCAAGAGTCTCCTAAGCTTCTTGAAGATGGTAAGAAATTGGAAATGACATATTCAGTGAAGTGGGTAGCAACAGATGTATCATTTGCACGCCGTTTTGAAGTGTACCTGGACTATCCTTTCTTCGAACACCAGGTGATACTTTGTTTGTAGACAACTGACAACTTTCTAGTTTCTATTCAGCTGTATCTTCCCTTTTAACTAACTATTAGAAGTCCTAAGCTCTGTTCATATTTCGCATTTTCAGATTCACTGGTTCTCCATTTTCAACTCTTTCATGATGGTTATTTTCCTAACTGGTTTGGTTTCGATGATATTGATGCGGACTTTGAGAAATGATTATGCCAAATATGCTCGTGAAGATGATGATCTAGAGTCCCTGGTGAGGATCTGAATTCTGGTGCACCTACTGTTTAACTGTATACTTAATAGCTAGAGAAATGTTTTCACTAGATTTTGTTGGCTTCCCCACTCCATTGTTGCTTAAGTTGATGCACCTTTGTAGGAGAGAGATGTTAATGAGGAATCAGGATGGAAGCTTGTCCATGGTGATGTATTTCGGCCTCCCCGAAGTTTGATGTTTCTTTCTGCACTTGTTGGTATCGGCACCCAATTGGCAGCTCTTATCCTACTTGTGATTGTTTTGGCCATCGTTGGCATGCTATACATTGGGTACACTCAACATACACCCCTTTTCTGTCCTCCTTGCATGCACAACATATTGCTTGAAATATCTGAGAGAGCAATAATTCATTAGCAGAAAAAACCTATAAGTAAATGCACAATACATGGTATAGGACTACAAGGATTATTTGAAATTTTATAGGGGACTTCTTTTGGGGGGTGGGTGGGAGGGACTGCCCTTATGAACCAATGTGATGAATTATAAGCCAGATTATTTCTTCGACACATTTGAACAATTTAAGCAGAAGCATAATCCTCTACACAATGCTTTTCTCTAACTTCAATTGGATGGTGTTTGTCAGGCGAGGGGCTATCATCACAACCTTCATTGTGTGCTATGCTCTTACATCGTTTATTTCTGGATATGTTAGTGGTGGTCTTTACTCAAGGAATGGTGGTATGGTTCTGCACAATTTTCTATTAATTCTCATGTTTGCGCAATCCAGTTTCTTTGCAATATCTGTTCCCATGTTGTACCTTCATGTTCTTCTCTTTTAAAAAGAGTCTACAGTTTAAATTATCATGTATGGAATCCTCACCTCACAATTTATGGCTTATCGAATGGTTCTTGAATTCATGGCAGGCAAAAACTGGATTAAAGCGATGGTTCTTACAGCATCCCTCTTTCCATTCTTGTGTTTTTCAATTGGCTTCGCATTGAATACAATTGCCATCTTCTACCGCTCATTAGCAGCAATACCATTTGGCACAATGGTTGTCATGTTTGTACTTTGGGCTTTCATCTCCTTTCCCTTGGTGCTTTTGGGAACTGTCGTTGGTAGGAACTGGAGTGGTGCTCCTAACAACCCCTGCCGTGTAAAGACTATTCCACGGCCTATTCCTGAGAAGAAGTGGTACCTTACACCTTCTGTCATCTCATTGATGGGTGGTCTGCTTCCCTTTGGTAGCATCTTCATTGAGATGTACTTTGTGTTCACATCATTTTGGAACTATAAGGTAAACAAACAAATACTTTTTTAACATTTTGTACTCCTGACATCGCTTTCTCTTACAACTGCGATCTTGTACTGTAAGGTGTGCATGATTGGTTATTTTATCTTCCTCTGGCGATTCCAAATGATGTCCATGCTTCATAGTGCATTTCTCCATTGATTTATCTGTACCATATTTGCAATTTTGATTTGACCAAGTTTGCAACCATGACGCAATTTTGGGGCTTCTTTGCAGGTGTATTATGTCTATGGTTTCATGTTGCTGGTCTTCATCATCCTTCTAATAGTCACCATCTGCGTCACTATTGTGGGTACTTATTTCTTGCTGAACGCCGAGAACTATCATTGGCAATGGACGTCGTTTTCCTCTGCAGCATCAACCGCTTTGTATGTGTATCTGTACTCCATCTACTACTACCATATGAAAACAAAGATGTCAGGCTTCTTCCAGACAAGTTTCTACTTTGGCTACACACTGATGTTCTGCCTTGGTCTAGGCATACTTTGTGGTAAGCTCACCTTTTAACCAAAGATTGTGCCTTGCCATAATATGTGACTGCTTTCGGTTTTTGACCTGTCTGCTTTTGTTGGTGATTCAGGTGCTATTGGGTATCTAGGGTCAACCCTTTTTGTAAGGAGAATCTACAGAAATATCAAATGTGATTAAATCCCTGCTACTTACTAGCAGCAGAAAGATCATATGTATTGTCAGTGGAAGCAAGGCCTCAAAAATGGATTTTAATGGTAGACCCTGAATAGGTTTTTGAAACTGCTGAGGACTTGCTCCCTTTGTTCGCTGTTATACGCATTTTTGTTTGCCTGCTTATTTCTGTGAAATCGTCCTCATAATGTATACCTGTGGTAGTTGAGGATTAGTCTGAAGCACCTGTTTTCATCATTTTCTTTTCCTTTTGTTTTTATTATTACTTCATTCGGTAGGATGTAGTCAGTGAATGTTGATGCGGCGCGAGCCCAATTAGGACTTTTTCGTTTAAATCATTCTCTATATGAGGATCGATGGGGTTGAACTTATTTGTCACCTCAATCGTCCAATCCGTACAAGCTCTTGAGTCTTAACACTAGGGTAAATCCATTTGACCATTTCGTCCCAATATGTGGACTGGAAGGGGAGTTAAGCAAAATTTACCCGTCGCCCAATCTACTGCAATCGAAATGACGAAAGGAAAGATTTATTCAAACAAGGCAACGAGCCCATATCTGAAATTTTCCCTCCAATGCATCGTGGCATCCAGTTAAAAGGTTTCCTTTTTGAAAACTAATATATAAAACATTAAACCCAGATTACAAGGGTCGGAAAGCAATCCTGATTGCATGATTCTACTACACCAGAGCTATGGTAAGCAACCGCCCTAGCACAGAATGACAGGGTAAAGATGAATCGCAAAAAAAAGAAAAAGAAAAAAAAAGACAGGGTAAAGAAAATTGCACAAGATCCCTAAAAAAACAGAATTTCTAAATAACTCACGGATGATATGATGTCTTGTTTTCATTCACTTTTGTGTGGTTGAGATTGTTTGTAGGTTCGTGCGATTCTTTTCTGTGATGCCATAGTGTTGGGTGCGTTATGGTTACGGGCTCATTTGCGCGGTTCTACACGCTGGCCGTCTGCGTCGCCACCGTGGTCTGAAACCTCGCCGTCGTCGTGGCCGCCACGGAGCCCGGGTGCGCGGGCCATGCCGCGGTGCTCAGGAGGTGGCACTCGTCCAGCCACATCGCCCGTGCGCCACCGGCCAGCGGCGACGGCGGCGACGGCCACGATGGCGCCATCGTCTCCGATCCAGCGACGAGCGCGGCGGCGCGTCGTCGTTCCACGGCGCGGACGAGGTGCCCAAGGGCCTGCACCCGGTGTACGTCGGCAAGTCGTGCCACCGTTACCTCATCGCCGAGGAGCTCGTGGGCCACCTGCTGTTCCAGACCCTCGTCGACCGCACCGGCGGAGCGGCGGGCACCGTCGTCGGCTGCAAGGTCGTGCTGTTCGAGCACCTGTGGCTTATGGAGAACGCGGACCCGCAGCCGGAGTCTCTCGACTAGCTCGTCGACTACTACGCGTGCTGACCGCACGCAAAGAGCCTCCGGCCCGCGCCCGGCCGGCCATGCCGTCATCGACTCATCGTCACCGTGTTTTGCTGTGGAAAAGTAACATGCGGGGTCCACTTATTTAATTATATTTCTGGTTCGCGTTATCTTGAGTTCGTTTCATTATTTTTTTTTCTGTTGATTCTTTGCTGTTTGTTACGTGCTGTTTTTTTTCTGCCAATGATTATTTTTTTGTTTTTTCTATTTCTCTGTTGGTTATGTATCATTTTAATATTTTATTCAACTTTTGAGGTGTCAATGTATCATTTGATAAAAATCTGAATGATAAAGACAACGAAAATCTTCAAGATAAGTAGTCACTCAAAAAAAAAAAAAGTACAAGATATGATGTAGCTTGCAAGTATAAATGGCCAAATAGGTCGGCCTGTTGGACAACCCGCACGATAGTAGCAGGGCTTGGCCCAACGGTTGTAGTACAAGTGCTGGCAAGGGCACTAGGCACAGCACGACAAGTGCTTGCTTGGGCCGGCAAGCCAGCCCACAATGCCGGGCCCAGGCACAGCACGACTATTGGGCTAACACTACGCCGGTCTGATCTCTCTTAGCCATTAGATGATCTCAAGTGTTGCTAAAAAAAAAAAGATGATCTCAGGTAGACAAGTAAACCACAATTGTTGGATTCACGTGGAGTGGCATGTATAAACACCCCCTCTCTAGAAACCCTAGCTCCTTCCTCTCCTCTCAGCCTCACGTATAAGTTTGGGCTGCCGACATTTCCCTGACTCCCTTTTGACCTTGCACATGACTTATTAAAGCTTGTAATAACTAGACTGAATAAAACTTTAGGATGACTTGACATAAATGAACTAAAACTTGATGATAACTTGCTATGATTTAACTGAAATTTGATGATAGCTTGATATGACTTAACTGTTATTTGACGATAACTAGCTATGACTTAACTGTAATGAAGGTACCTGCTGCTAGCAGTGAGGAGGAAACCGAGGAAGAGGAGTGTCGGGGACCAATACCAGGGTATCCGAAGAGGAGGAGCTAATAACCATCAACATTGATTTATCTGAGCAGTCAAGAGCGCGACTACAGCTCCGACCGACCCCCAAGTGCGCAAACTCCGCCTCGCCCGACCCCTGAGGGTTGGCTCCGCCTCGCCCGACACCGAGGCCGCGGGCTCCGCCTCGCCCGACACCGAGGCTGCGGGCTCCGTCTCGCCCGACCCCTGTGGTGACTCCGCCTCGCCCGACACCGAGGCCGCGGGCTCCGCCTCGCCCGACCCCTGAGGGTGGCTCCGCCTCGCCCGACCCCCGAGGGCAGGTTCCGCCACGCCCGACACCGAGGCCACGGGCTCCGCCTTGCCCGACACCGAGGCCACGGCCTCCGCCTCGCCCGACCCCTGAGGGTGGCTCCGCCTCGCCCGACCCTCGAGGGGTGGGCTCCGCCTTGCTCGACACTGAGGTCGCGGGCTCCGCCTCGCCCGACCTCTGAGTGCGGGCTCCGCCTCACTCGACCCTTGGGTTTGGGCTCCGCCTCACCCGAGCCTTGGGTTTGCACTCCGCCTCGCCCGAGCCTTGGGTTTGCACTCCGCCTCGCACGACCCCGAGGCCGGGGGCTCCGTCTCGCCCGACGGAGACCCATACCGCCGCCGACCACTCCAGGTCCAAGCGTATGGGCCTGGGTCAAAGCTCTGACACCAGGGAGGTGACCGGCATGCCCCGATATAACCCGTGGCCATGACGGGCCATACCTAAGGCTTCACATCAGGAACAGCGTCGGGCGAACCGTTGTTATTCTGCCTAACCCTCGTACGAACACTGACGGGCGTGTTAGTTCGCCATGACGTCCGCCAGGACAGAGTGGAGCACCACGACCAGGAGACGACGCCTACGCATGGCGCCAGTGACGGATAGGGCTGCAACGTGAAGCTGTCCCTGTTGACGTCTACAGGGTCGGCGGGACCTACATCGAAGAAAAGGACCCGACGATCCGGGAGGACTTCTTCTCCTTATGACTCTCCTCTCCCCCCGCTGTAACCCCTGCTTTCCCTTAGCCTATAAAAAGGAAAGCAAGGCGTTCCATTAGAGGCATCGAACCAACGATCGCAACACATCGCATCGAACCATCGGACTCAAATCCGATCGATCCACCAAACCCCAAACATACAACCGAGCTCTCGGCACCCGTTCACCATTTCCATCAGAGACCTAGGACATGTCCCTCTCTCGCCCATTTGTAACCCCTACAAAGAACTTTTAGTGCTAGTAACACGAGTGGCAGCAACGAACTGGACGTAGGGACATTCTGCCCGAACCAGTATAAACCTTGTGTCCTCTTAGTACACCATCTGAGCCAGATGCGCAATATTAGAAATTTACTTGTTCATGGCAACTCTAAACACCGATAGTTGGCACGCCATGTAGGGGCCTTTTACATGTCTCGACATCCACACCAGGCCTCGGATGGCTAATCGCAACGTCAGCTAGGTCCCGGGCACGCACGTGCGCTTCAGGGACCTGGACTTCATCGTCACGATGGAGGGAGAGTTGACAATGGCTCCGCCGCCGTCCGACCTCTCCACTCTGCCAGCCTCGACGCGATCACCGAGGCGCTTGAGGAGCTGTAGCTGCCCGCATCGGAGGCCCGCGCCCCCGGAAGCGACCAGCTCCTCAACTTCAACTACGGGAGGCTAGAGCGCCAGCTAGGCGTCTTCCTGGGACCCCGATTGTCCCGAGAGGACCTGCGCCACCTCACCTTCTTGTTCGCCAATGTCATGGCGTGGCTTGCCGGAGAGGAGCTGCTCTCTCTAAAATACCTCATCCGAAGCGCCCCGATAGCGCTCCCGTCCGGTCTCCGCAACGCCACAGAGACCGATGGCCACCTTGTGGCACGACGCATGCCTCCATCCCCCACAAACAACGAGTTCTTCGGGATGACCGAATATGTCCCGGAGTCTTTCCACGACCTCCTCATGGAAGAACCGGAGTCGCCCTTCAGCTCTGACTCTAGCAGGGGGAGCCATCACCCCTCTTGTGAGTGTTTCATGGCAGGTACTCCTGAGGGACACATCGAAAGCATCCAAGATGAGAAGGCTACCCTGATGAACGACCTCGACAACAAGGCTGAGGGGGAGACAGGGGCCCCACCCCACCTGCGGGTGGAGCAACTGAAGGCCCGGCACCAAGAGCTCAAGGAAGCATGACTCTAGCTCGAGCAAGAATGCACGGAGCTCGATCAGGAGATCGAGCGCCACGGAGATGGTGGGCGCGCGCGCCATGGCCCGCGACTTGAACCGGAGCATCATCATGGATGATGAAGCCCTCCCACACTTCGCCCGGGGGAGCCAGAACATCATTGCTGCGGCGGCCTTACTTTGAGGGCTTCCGGGGCCTACGACGCCCAAGGATCGTCAGGCCCACCATGAGATTCGCACGCTGCTCGAGCGTGCGGCGGCATAGCAGGTCGAGAGCTCGCTGTCTCGGCGACGCGAGCTTGATGCCAGCCAGCGTACGCTCTCAGAGTGACCCGACAAGGACGCATCAGTCCACTAGGCGCCATGATGTGGCAGGTAGCGCACCGCGGTACAGGTGCATTAGCGTCTCTACCGCAACCGTGACGCACGCGACACCCTCGATGCCCACAGATGTACCCACGATGAGCCGAGAGGGAGCTAGCCATGGCTATCACCCTCGTCATGGCGGACGCTTCAACAGCGGCGAGGACCAAAGCCCAAGCCCTAGCCTGCCAAGAGCTTAGGCCTTCGGTCGACACATCCTCAACGCCGCCTTCCCGCCAAGGTACCGAACACCAACCAACATCCTGAAATACTCTGGGGAAACGAACCCCGGACTGTGGCTCGAGGATTATCGGCTTGCCTGCCAAGCCGGTGGAGCGGATAATGACGATTTCATTATCCGCAACCTTCCATTATTCCTGGCCAATTCGGCGCAAACATGGTTGGAACACCTTCCACCCAACATAATCCAAAGTTGGGCGGACCTGAAAGAGATCTTCGTGGGGAACTTCCAGGGCACGTACAAGCGTTCGGGGGCTGGCAAGAGTGTCTATTTGGTAGACATTCTTGATGCCCGACCCCTTTCTCACGCTAAAACCTAGAGGCAAGGTGTGCGGAGACAAACTCTGAATAAAACTGGCCAGACTGCTAGAAACCTACGCCCCAGCGGCTACGGCATTTCTGCTCACTAGCATGATCAGAGTTTTTGTTCCCGCACCCTGAGCTTTAGCCTCCGCCTTCCCTGGAAGGATTTGGAGGGACCCACCAGCGGAATCTCCATCGAGGAGAGGCCGGCAGGTCGCCCAGGTCAGTCGGACGGCTCGGGTTGCTGTCGAGCAAAATGGAGCAGTGGGATGCCTCATGCAGGTTATGCCAGCTCCGTCACGAATGTTAGACCCGGACCCCACATGGACATATCTGGTAAGGGCTCCCCGAACCCGTCACTTGAGCTATCGAGGTAACTTTACCAACCCCCACTTTACTTTTCCAATACATGAGCATTCATTCAACCATTCTCATGCATGCGTTCATACATTCATTCATTCATACATTCATCCATACATTCATCTCATACATCCAAGCATTGCATATGCAGTTATTGCATCACAACGCTCCGCGTCGCATCACAAAGCGGTAGTCATCTCATTCGACATGAGCAGCGACCGACCGAGGTTCGAAGGCTAGCCCACGAAGGGCTCGAGGCCACCTCGCGTCAAACAGAGCTAGGGGAGAAAAACTTAGATGAGCCCCAGCGGCCTTTCCCGACCCCGCTCAGAAGCGGACAAGGACATCTAGACCTTTCTCTTTCGATCCTAACCTCAAGCCAATCCCATAGAATCTCCATCGAGGAGAGGCCAGCGGGCCAACCGAGCCAATCGAATGGCTCAGTCATCTACCGAGAGGCGGGTTATGGAGTAGTGGAATGCCACATGAGGGCTATGCCGACCCCGTCAGTGAATGACGGACCTGGATTGCACTCGGACATGCCCGTTAGCGAGCTCATCGAGCGTGACACTCGAGCCATCGAGGCAAGTGTTAT